TTAAAAAGAGTAGTGACAAATCCTATGTACGTAATCTACGTTTCTGAATATGCGCTGCGGCATACCCAAAACAAAGCCTGTATACCATCCTTATTTCATATGGCTTAGGACAATGCATCAAAGTATGCGGGTGCACATATGCAGAAAACGTAATACTTCAAGTCGAAGGATAGTTACACTCGTGGTCGCGCTAAAGATGCTTAGAGCATGAACTAAAAGTTCAAGCAATATCTTTAGGATGGGTCAGTCCGGCATCCTATTATCTCTAGATAATATCTGCCCATGTGCGGATGCGAACACACCGTCATTGACTATGAGACTAAGTCAAACATCCAACACACACTAGTCTCACATGCATTAACGATATCCCACTCTCGTTAATACTCGACTATGGACATTCAGATAAATATTTATTTCAAGATGTTAGTCTCATCAGCAGAAAAACACTATCTGATAAACATCTTTTAAATATAAATCTAGGAATATAATATTTGTTTACATTAGCATGAGATGTGTAAACATATTATATCTGCCTATACATGATAGAATAACGATAAACAGTTGGCCATCAGGGCACAACTCCAACAAATAGTACCCCAACAGGTGCAAACTAAACATGTTAGTAAACATGTGGTTTTCCGTACGTTAAGTACAGGTATTAATGTGTGTATAATCATATGGGTTATCACTTCATGTTCTTTTGTTAAATTTACTCCTCAGCTTTTGCTGAGCGTGTAGTTGTTTTAGCTACACGCAGGTAGTCATGACAGTACATGTGCTAACTCTGGAGGACAGTGATGATGGGAGGATGGTGGCGCACGGACGAGTTCAATATTTATATATATTTAATCAATTAATCATTTCTGCAAGAACCCACCATTTTTAGTTTTACTTGTTTTGGACTTATTTATTTACTTCCGCTTTACTCTGCATTTATACCTCACACGTTTTGGGGTTAACTCCCTAGCATTTATTCCACTAATTAGACCCAACCGTTTTCATAATAAACGAGCATTAATGTTTTCCGCTACGGACGGTTCTCGGACCGTCCATGTAACCCTACCGGTCCGTTGGGTCGCGAGGGAACCGGGTCCACGGAAGGCGGGTGTTATAATGTAGGTAATTCAAATTTATTGAGGACTGATTTAGAAAAATACATTATTACAAAAGACTATTTTGAAAATTTACTCGAAAAATAATAATGGAGTACGACGGTTCCTTGTACTCCATTATTGAGTAATAATAATAAAAATAAATAAAGACAATGAATTTAATTGGACTGAAAAATAAATGGATTATTGAAGTACAATGGTACAATACGAACATAACGACGACAGCAATAATAATAGTAATATTATTTTAATAATAATAATAGTAATAGTAATAATATTTATTAATAATACAAATAATTTAATAATAATAATAATAATAAAAAAGGTAATTAGGGTATGCCAATAATGGGAATAAAAGGCAAGTAATAGTTAGTGGGAGCAAGTCCCCATTCACTGGGGTCAGGAAGATCAATGGGCTTGGACGACCCGAACTCCGAACCCGCCGCAGCTTCACATTTCTTGTTGGGGCATCGGGTGTAAAACCTTAGCGGCTCCACGATTGTGTAGCTGAGGCCGCCGTGGCCAGCTGGTGGTTCCGCCGTCGTCTTAGCTGCTTCTGATGAGGTTTCCTTTGGAACATAGAGTTGATGGGCTCCTCCAAGAATCTTGGCATGGCAGCCTCCGGATTCCGGCGGCTGTGAATTATGAGAGGTCGTCGTCTCAAAGCTGCCGTCTTCTTTTGTTGTTGCCACCGTGCCCTGCTTCCCGCCACCGCACTTCACGGATACCATGATTCCTTGTAGTGATGATAAACATTCACACAAAAAATGAACCACATATAAAAAGTGAAATTTGCACTGAATAGGACTAAAACATAAGTCATTTTCTAAAGTAGGAGTTAAATTTTTTTATTCCCTAAATAGGACTTAATAATGTCTAGTGAGAAGAATAAAGTTCAAGTGATACTGGACATTTAATTGAATAATGACTAATAGATAATGACCAATGATCTTACATTGAAAAATAAAAACATATGATCCTACATTAAGAAAGTCATTATCTTTTAGTCCAATTTAGGTAAACTACTCATATAAAAAAGAACAAGACATCTCCCCCGTCCCAAAAACTCCTTCCCCTTTCTTTTTTTAATTGTCCCACAAAATCTTTTTCATTTTTATTAAAAAACTACTTTTATTCCTATTAATTCTTAGCCTACCTATCATATCATATCTTTTTATTGATAATCTACACATCGCATCCTATTTTTACCATCACATCAAGGATATTTTTGAAAAATCAACACAAAAATATTTTTTCCCTTAAATTTTCTAAAAAGATAGACTACTTTTAGGGCCTCTTTGGTGATTCTTTTTTAGGCATGATAAGAAATGAGATTTGAAATATGGTAGAAATGATATGCGCTTTGAAATCTGAAACAGAGTTTGAGTTTTTTGGTGGGACCGGTAATCACAAGCTTGAGTTTTCTGGTGTAGTTGGTTCCTTGACATATATATACCTGAAAGATGGTATTGATGGCCGGCGGCATTATCATGACAGTCGATGCAGGAGACGGTGCCCCGGACGACATGGGAAGCCCTCGATAAGTCGTCGGGCCCAGCCGCAAGGGCTGAAGCAACAACCACGGAGAGGGCTACTAGGATCACTGCTGCTACACCAGCTTGACAAGTCGTCGCCATGATATATTATTATGTCTGTTATTACTAGTTAATTAAATGAATGCAATAATCATTCAAGCTAAATTTGTGTGTACGAATAATTAACAATATATTGTACTTGAAGTAAAGAAGTATAGTAGTTGGTGTTGGTGCATGGGAGTGTGAGTTGAGGGAACAATAAATATATACGTAGTAGAAACAAGCTAAGCTAAGATAAGGGAAATTTAAAGCAGATCGAGTTGCCTAACGTTACGTTCGTTACAATAAGTAAATGCTGATTCAGTAGGTTGTTGATCGAAATCAATATTTACATGCAAAAGTTGTTGGAACAATCCTTATACAGTAGTTGTTAGAATTTTGTCTTTAGTTTCATCTTATATGTTCTTACTTCTTACATACTTTCATTTTTTTACAAAACAATCCCAATTTTTTTTTGTTATTTGACTCTTAGTATTATGTAACCCTTTGATCAATAATAACTCTCTTTATGCATCATCTCTGATCTCCAAAAAAAAGGACTAGCTACTAGTTACTATTTACAGGTCAAACTAACTATATTTTCTCTATACATTTTTATCTATTACTTCATATTTGATAAAATAAAATAACTTTTTCATCACTTGTTTTGTAAAAATTTTTTATTCAGTTTTTTAATATATAACTTTTATTTTTTAACTCTAAGCCAATTTTCACTAATATAATTCGAAAAAAAGTTAGTCAAACATCGTAACGTGAAGAGGAGACTTATTTTGGAACGGAAGGAGTATGTTGATATATACTACCTCCGTCCCTGAGTATTTGTCCAATTTTGACTTTTTTTGGTCAACTATTTTCAACCTTTGACTTATAATTAAATAAAATATATATTGTATTTTAATTCAATAAAATAATATTTTGAAATATTTGATATAATAAATCTAATTAAACTCTTTTGTATCAATATCTAATATTATTTTCATTTGATTTGAAGTCAAAGTTTACCAATTTTGACCGAAAAAAGTTAAAAGTAGACAAATACTCAGGAATGGAGGGAGTATTATATTACTTCATCTGTCCCAATTAAGATCAGAATTCATCAAGTTTAATTTTTTCGAAACAAACTAAACGAACTTTAATAATCAACAACTTTAAATTTGCATTCATATATTAATATAATGCAATGAATTTCCAATATTTTTTCGTAAAATAAATCTAATTAAATCATGTTTGTACTAATATTCAATGCTATTTTTATTTAATTCACGATCAAAATTTATCTAGTTTGATTCGAAAAAGTCAAACTAGAAAAATACTCTGGGTTGAAGTAGTATAAAAATAAAATATTTTAAAATGAATTTATCGGTATTAAATTTATATCATTAACCAATGTATTTCCCCATATTTTGTGATTAAAGTTTAAAATTATTGATAAAAAACTAAGGAAAAGGCTAATACTCCACAAAAGATATTCGTGTCATCTAATTTTAAGTATGTCGAGGAAGGATAAACAATAAGATCCGCTAGAGTATAAAAATAATTAGTGTCAAAAAATTGAGGGAAATATTTTTTTCCAAAAAAAATATATTTTCTAGGCCAAATAATGGGGGTGTATCTAAAAAAAGCATTTCTCTGTGCTAATGTTTGCTGACTTATTGTTATAAGTAATTTTTAACCTATAAGCTACTTGTATGTCATTTATTTTCTTGTAAAGTACAATGACTTAAATGATTGATAATTCATTTAAATATAGTCATAAATTGTGAGAGAAAAGAATATTCTCATCTATTACTCCCTCCGTCCTAGTTTAGATTACAATATTCCCTTTTTGTTGAAATTAAAGAAGAGTCAAATCAATTTTTTTTCCCCAAATTACCCCCAAGTGGCCCACTCACATGGATGAATAGTATGTGAATAGTGTAGGAGTGGGAGGGTAAAAGAGTCAATTCCTTGTAAAGTTATTGACTTTGTAATTCTTTTTGGGACAAAAATATGAGAGAATATTATAATCTATTTCGGGACGAAGGGAGTATGTATTGGCATCAAATACTCCCTCCGTCCCTAAATAGATTACAATTCTTTTTTCTCTCCTCTCGATAACTTTTGTTTATTTACGCGATTTCATTAAGTATTTGATAAAATAAAATATTCTTGTCACCTCTTGTTTTATAAAACTTTTGACGTAGTTTTTTAATATGTAATTTTTATATCTTATTGATATACTCTCTCCATCCCGTTTTAAATCACCTGTTTTGACTTTTGGGCATATTTAAAGAAAAGAAAAAATAGAATTGATTTTTTGAAATTGTAATTATTTTTTAGAAGGGGTGACTATGAATTAAAAGATAATATGAAGAAGAGTGACTTATTTTAGGGGTAGTTTAGGTATTTTATTTTAAAAACTTTACGATAACAACTAACAGACAACTTATTTTGGGAAAGAGAAAAAAGGCAAACATGCAATTTGAAAAAGTAAAAAGAATTTCTTCGTAATCCGCAATTTATAATCTATTTAGGGACGGAGGAAGTATAACTTTAGGTCGGATGTTTTTAGTCAAATTCTCATCTAGTGACTGACAGGCTATATTAATTAAAGTAAAATGAAAAAAAAAGGGTTTTGGAGAAAAAAAAACATGTAAATACTACAGTGGCCTGGGAGTAATAATTATGAATTACTACTATAGTGAAGCCAGACCAAAAATGCATGTGGCCATCATCATTGAAGGGCGGGTCGATCGCCAGTTAGTTGGGAGGGTGGGAGCAACCAAAAAATGTACACAACGCCTGATCGAACCAAAATTCAACACAGCCTTCAATTCCGTCTTTATTATTCTATGGTCCAGGGGACATACACTACAACCGGTTTTGTACATCCATATACTTGTCGCGTCACTATCAATTTCTTTACAAAAATACTAGGTACACCAAATGGGGTACTCCATTTGTACCCCTGTTATATATTTTAGTGTAATTGGAAAAACTATGATCAATGGTATCCTAATAATCATCAACGAAGTTTGGTGGTGCGGAGTGCACGCTTCATTGAGTTTGTTACGATAAAAATCCCGTTACATCGGGGGTTCCAAGGGGGCAGCGCCCCCGAGCAGGGTTCAAGGGGCGGCAGCCCCGGCGGGGTCCAAGGGGCAGAGTCCCTGGCTGGGGTCGAGATGCTATGTTAAAAAATTCAGCTCGAAAATTTTTTATTTTGGGCAAGACGCTATGTTAAAAAATTCAATTGGAATTTTAATTTTCGGATTTTCTTTAAAAGAAAACCTCCGATTGGATAGCACCGAATTTTGGAGAACCTCCGCACGAAGGATCGCGTAACTTGGGAAAGAGACGCGATAGGCGTCTTCTCCCTCTACCGCAAGTTTATAAATTCCCGCAGGCCTTGGTCGGATTTGAGTTCGGATTTTTCATAGCAATCCTCATATTTCGTTCTTGATACTTTCGAGTTTTATCCGATTGAATTTTGGAGTGAACAATCAAAATATTCAATCTGAAAGTGTTTACACAACTCTCGATTCATCCAAGTTATCATTAATTTCCCCAACACCCCCTTCATCTCCACCACATAAAGGCAAGAGAGAAAACAAAAATAAAAATAAAAAAAGAAATGGAGGGCTATGATGAGTGGTGTACAAAAGGGGTATCCCAAATGTACCCCTAGCATTCCTCATTTCTTTATAGTATGTTTGGGAATGTGGACTGGAATTTTAAATCCGAATTTGATTCAAATTTTATTTTTGAAAAATTTAAAAATTTTGAATTTGGATTTGAATTAAATTTTTTCTCATTCATAACAAAGCTTAATTTGAAATTCATGCACCTCCTCTTGTTATTTGAAATTCAAGATTTCAAATTTTGGAATTGAAATGCATGAATTGAAATGAAATGCTAGTTGTCAAACACTACCTTAGTGAAATTTGCACTAAATAGTACTTAAACATATGTCGTTCTCTAATGTAGTACGGAGTACTTAAATTTTTTTAATGCTCTAAATGGTATTTGAATAATGTCTAGTGGCGGGAACAATGTCCAGTCGCGGTAAACAATTAATTAAAGAATGACCAGTGAACAATGACTAGTGGTGCTACATCGAGAAATAAAAACATATAGCACTACATTGGGAGAGTCACTTTTCTAACTAATTGCCAATTTCAATTAGGAGTATTGCTACAATAACACTGATTTTGACATTACCAATGACAATTGTCCACGTATAGACGTGGCATAACCGTCTGTAAACATACACCGTTGTCATCTATGATATCAAACTTGGTATATATTCTTGTAACGTTTTCTTCTATTCGATTACAAAGTACTCTCGTATATTACTCCACTAGTGTTTTTAATTTATTGACTTGTTTGCCGATCTTCCCAAGCCAAGAATGTGATGAAATCTCATACTTTCACGTTTCAAAGTATTCATCCAGTTTAACTTGTTTTTGTGTCAAACTAAACTACTTATTTTAATTGCTAATTACATTAAATACGGCATTGCATATTAAATTATCAATGGAATGAAATACATTTTTTGAAAACGGTCTAAAATATAAGTCTAATGAAATCATTCTTAAAATAAACAAAATACACTGTACGTTACAATTTTTATTAATTGATAATCGAAGTTTTTTATAATTTGACTCAAAAAAAAATCAAACTAGGGAAATATTATGAAGCGGGTAACATTTGCTTTGTTGCCATATTACATTTTGACCCAAGAACAATACTTCCTAGCTAGTAAGATTTGCCTCCCGAAAATTCAGAGAAAACTTGGCTTTACAGAGAAATGATGAAAAAGTTTAGCCCGTGTTAACTAAAACATTTTAGAATCTTGTAAGTAAATGAATACACAAAAAAGAAGACATTTTCATGTTAGAAGACAATGGTTTGAAACTGCAAACAGAGAAAATAGCCATGAAACTCCAAAGAATCTGCATTGAACTGTGTAAATACACACACCCACCCACCCACACACACACACACATGAGTGAAACCAAAAGCTGATTCGAACCGTAAAACCACTCAACACTAAAACAACCGAGCGCGTACAGCTTCACAGTTTTCCACAGCCAAACAGAGAAGAAGAAGGTGACAGCTCATTACCTCCATGCTTCGATCCACTCTGTCGTGGAATTGATACGGCTCAAATTGTTAACTCCTCTGCATTTGTTGTTGTTATCACTTCCCACCACACCGCTAGACTGATGACCCGATAATTTCCCGTCCCTCTGCTCTTTGGACATCATCCAACTGTCCAAAACACCCATCTCTCTGGTTTCAGATTCATCGGATGAATCTGAGTAACTGAGATATTCTTCGTCGGTCGGGTTGCATGTGTCTTCCTGCAGGATGAGGTGGGGAGGATTCTGGTGACCATTCTCCCCAGTTGGATCTATGCCGGGACCCGGTGCGGCATCCACAGTAGAATCTTTTCTTTCTCGTAATGTCTTCTCGATAAGCATTTTCAAGAAGTTCATCACTTGGACTGCATACATGAGTGCAGTCAATGGGTCTGCCATCTGCATGGACAAACGGCACTTAAAATTTGTTCGCTAGAAAGGGAAAAGATCCATTAGTGGAATTAAATTATGTACGACGGGAGTTGCCTGAGTCATGTTTGGAGCAAACACCATTGCTATGTTCCGTGCGTTCATCTTATTGCAGGCTTCTTCTTGGACAACATCGGCCATCAAGTTGATGGCCCAATCCAGCAGAGAAGCTTCTGTGGGCCGCAGAAGTCTGACCAGTGCAGTACAATCCTCTTCAGACTGGCATTGGATTACCTGCTCCTGAGATAGAGAGTCCAACACCCCGTTTGGCAGTTCACGGAACCAAGCCTAACAAACATGCAAATATGTGAGGGGAGGCATTTTTCTTAACAAGAATAAGTATGCAAAATACAAACCTTGATAAGGCCTGCCAAACAGTGCACATCAATGCCTTGAGGAATTACTCCTCTGTTTAGTTGCTCTCTTACGTGTTCCTCCTGCCCATTCTCTGCATTTATTCTGAAAATCCCTTCTGCCTGTGTGCATAATAACAATTAATTGACCATGAACAAAGTCGAGTAAAATTGCAGAAAAAAAAGAAACACCTGCAGGCCCCCTTGAGCATAAAGGCACCTTTGCATGAGTATGAGAATAGTTGGAATGCTGTTCCCTCTCGAATCAAATGATAATTGCATTGATTCGGTTGACACTCCAAAAACGGTGGCACTGCACATGGAATTAGCCATAACAAGGTATGATGAAAATAGAGGGAGAATAATGAGATGAGAATTTAAAAAAATGTTCTTTTGATTTGAAAATAAGATGAAAGGAACAAAAGATCTGATATGGGTGAGGAATTGATGTATTGGGTGCGGTGAAAAAGAGGGTTTCTTCATTTGGGAGGAAAAGATTAGATTTGATAAAAGATTAGCTTCTTACATTCTTATTCCATTATTTTTCATTCGATTTCCTTTCTCAGCCAAAAGAAGAAAAATTTTCCACCTAATTTTCTTGCCCTAATTTCCCACCATGTAACATTGGACTCTTTTCTTTCTCATATGGACATACGTGAAATCAAAGGTGAGAAAAAAAATCTGGAAGAGAGGCGAAAAAGCATAGCATGGAAACTAGAAACTACAAAATCACCATATCAAGAATTATAAAATTGAGAATTAGATTAAAATTGAGAAAATGTGTGATGCCTTTCTTCCATTGATTTAAGTTTGAGCCTTGTGCACATATGCCAAACATTTAAATAATATTAATAAATCAATTGTTTATTCTTATCACTGGTGACAAATCTGAAATCTCCTTGTCAGTTTCTTAACTTCTAAAGAGATGGCTTCTCATTTCAACTATCTCGAATGCTTATATAAGCTAATGTTCTAAACATAACCATTAACCATTAATATTATACTGAGTTTACCAATAAGGTTTATCATAATCAACATCAGATGCAACTATGAAAGCTTGAGAAATGAGAAGCTGTTTTATAGGAATACATCAGTATAAAATGAGTGAAGTTATTTTATAAGCACGACTGCACGAGTTAAACTCACCAAGAATAGAAAGCAAAGTAAACCACTTAGACATAATTAGAATGTCTACATGGAAAATCTAAGCAAAGGGAGTACGAAGTTACGTGATAATGAGATTACCAATCGGGGACGGAACGAGTTATGAATTACTTCCACTGTCTGGATTCAGTTGTTCATTTGTCATTACCCCTCAAATTCAGAAAAGAGGTTATTAATCAAAAGACTCTTATAATTGGCAAGTCGTCCATTGTTGGCAACAAGCTTAATATGCTCTTTAGCAGTTCTCCATCATTAATTCCAAACCTCGATAGAGGGGAGTAACAGATTAGCTTCGTTTACCAATCACCATTGCTTTTATAAATTCATTCACCTTATTACCTTCGGTATTCAATATGTGATTCTAAAGTTTCAGAATTTCTAGTATTTAACTTCAAATACCACTATATATGCCTTAAATTTTTTTATTCTACAAAATTTAAGCTTCTGATTGTCCAACCAAACTTAGAGGAACCCTAGTTTAAAGAATCCCATTCTTTTGCATCAAAGTAAACACATTTCATTTGTCAGCCCTATTTGATCTCCAATTGCACCATAGCAGCGGAAATGAAACTAGAAACTAATCAATGAAAGAAAATGAGAAAAAAGATCCAATTTCCACTGTCAGAACCACAATTCAAGAACTACCAAGAATACATTCAATCACAAAGACCACAAAGAGTAAAACTGAACTCACAAAAACGCAGAGAGAGAACAATGCACCTTGCACTAGGGGCCCTTCTGGGAACCTCGGGCTCAAACTCCACAGGCAAACCAAGAAACCCATTAAATCTATCGAAGGTGACGTGTGCAACATGGCGCACATTAGTGGGCCATCCAATCTCCATGCCACCAGAAGAAGCGGGATCGCAGAGCTCCCCTCGGTCCGTCTTGCAAGCCAACCAGAAACTCTTTCTGAAAAAAGCCAGTAGAAGAGCCAGCAGAGATATCTCATCTCTCTCTTTAGCATCTCCATTGCCTTCTTCTTCTCCGTCTGCAAAAGCCCGAAACAATGGAGGCGGAGGAGGAGGAGAAGATGAAGAGGGCGAGGAAGATGGTGAGCGGAGGACCTCCGTCATGGTTCCTTGTGAAATGGGCACTCAAATTTTCAGGGTTTTGGAGATCTTTTGCAATAAAGAATCGATTTTAGTGTCGGTTGAAGAAGATAAGAAAGCGTTGAAGGTGATTTTCAAGAAAATCTGAGAAGCGAAGGTAGCAGGACTCAATTTACCGAACGGGTGGAACGCTTGAGAAAAAGGACCCGACTCTGAGTTTTCTTCTGGTTCTGAACTTCTTTTCCTTTGAAATTTAATTAAAAAAAGACTAGCGAGCCAACCTACATGGGTGGATAAGAGAGTGTGTAACAATCCCACAGGATCCCTAAAATTTTAGGGTTTCATATTTTTAATTTTATCATTAATTTTAAAGTATAAGTATTCTAAAATAATAAAATATGACCCAAAATGTAAATTTTGAATCGGGCCAATTTCATTTTTTCATTTTTCGAGCCGGCCCTGCCAACCTGTTGTACGTTTGTATTAGATATCATAATTTAATACTCCCTCCGTCCCCCTGTATTTGTCCACATTTGACTATTGGAACTGTTCATCTAAGCACTTTGACTCATCAAATTCTCTCAATGTGTAAGCCTAAATATAGTCATGTGTGATCTTGTTTGATTTGTCTTAACATATAGATTATTAATATATAATTTTTATAATTTTTTAATATACAAATTACAAGATAAAATGGATTAAATAAGTGCATTGGATGGTGTGTAAAAATGAAAGTAGACAAATACAGGGGGACAGAGGGAGTAGAATTTAATTCTTTTACTTCATTCATCCCTAAGTTGATTAGCCCCTTATTTTAAAAATTAATTATTTTATTTAGTTGTATTTTCATTGATTATCTAATAAATAAAATATTTTTGTTATTTTTTGTAGAGTTTTGTGATGTAATATTATATTTAAACAAAAATGCTAGTGATGGTTATCGGGTTCATGAAATCAACCGAAAAGGCCCAAGCACGTTGTCCTGAGCGCAATGGAGATGAAGGCAAGATTAGGATTACAAGAATGGGTCGAACATGAGGACTAAACGAAGTAATGGGCCAAGCCCAGCCCATCAAGGTGGATTGATTACAAGATTTGAGGCAAGCGCAATCCACCCGTGGGATTGAGAAGTCATTGATGACTGATTCTTCACCCATAATTGATGCACAATAGCCAATTAGCCCGACAATGTAGCGCACGAATTACATACTATGTACGCAGTAGCATTAGTCTATAAATAAGAGATAAATCATCCATTGTAACATAAGTTGAAAAAAGGTAATACAAGTATACGAGAGTCATATATTCAATCTATATCGTTCTTATTTACATGCAAGCTCTTCGTGCCACCATAGTTGTTGGTCTAAATCCTATTAGCTAGGAACTCACCACGTGTGGCTCCACGTATGACAGCCACAGATGATTCATACACACACAATAATTGTCTGTGAACACAAATGATTATTGTATATGTATGTATAAAATCACCTGAATTTGTCATTCCTGGAAGCAACCATAGTGAGTTTCTTGCATTATCCCTATTTAAATACACAACTTAACTTTTTTATTCATATATCAACCTTTAAAAAATGGATTTAGACATTAGAATTTTAATTCACTTTACCCAAAGTGCATATCATACCAAACTATTCAACCACACAGACTCTCACTCACTCACTCTCTCTCTCTCTCTCTCTATATATATATGTAACACCTCAATCCGCATAATCCGAACTTATAATTTAGCAAACCAGAATATTACTAAATGAGTATCTACATACAATTTTTTCCAAATAAATTAAAATCGTTTAATTCCAAAAATCTAAACATTACAAAGTAAATCAACATTTATCAGACTTAATTAAAAACAGTTCAGAAGTTAAATTGTCATTTAATAAAAATCATTCTGACATTGATAACAAAAAGCACTCGTAGTAATTATCCATTTAGATTCCTGCATCCATACATCTCATCCGTCTCGCTGCTCTCCGGGATCAGAACTCAGTCGTACATGCGTGCAGCCAAAACACACAATTACATGCTCAGCGATGAGCTGAGTGATAAATATCTAACATTTCAAACATACAACTAAGCGAACCCAGTAGTTCACAATTCTCACATTATATCATACACATAAGTCTAATATCATGCGTTGATAAAAGCATAACCTCTGAATTTTAAGGCTATAAGCTTGACCTTCTTCTCATGCTCAACATCTTTGAAGTCAAAGACACGTTCAATCGTGATATACCCCGGGTTACTACCAACAACTCTAAAGTTGTTAAACAAATCAACGAAATAATGGCCAAGTGCTATGACCCCTTTTGGATTGAATTTACCCCCATCAAGCCACACACCATAGCCAAGCCCAACCACACCCTAAGGCCGAATCAACCTTACCAAAACCAAGCCCCAAAACATCCAAATTAACCCTTAAACCACATTGTCCTCTTCCTTTCTCCCTTCAACCCACCTTGGCCGAATTCCCAACCCAACACACCACCACACCCCTTAAACCCCACATTTATCCCTCCATTGCATTTACACACTAAAGGCCAAAACCACCCCAATATAATAACCCAAACAGCCACTCCATTCTTACCATGCGAGGGCCGAAAACAACCTACCAAAAACCCATGTCATAGTCACATTATTGTCTCCCATTGTGTTCCCCAACTAGGATGGACAGTACGACTTTTTCGAGTCTCCCATTATGTTCCCATGTGTGGTGGCCTGGGGCCTAGTGTATTTGTCAAGTTTGACTTTTTTAAGTTAAACTGTATGACTTTAAACTTCAATTAAATAAAAATTGTACTCCCTCCATTCCTAAACAATTTACATACTTTACAATCCAAAAATCACAAAAACTTTTATTTATTTGTGTGTTTTCATTGACTATTTGATAAAATAAAATATTTGTCATCTCTAGTTTTGTAGAACTTTAGACGTACTTTTTAAATATGTAAGTTTTATTTTTTATTTATATACCAATCTTCAAATAAAATAAAATGAGAAAACTTTTAATTTTACTTTGTTTTGCATAAAGAGTAATAATTTAAGAACTTATGGAGTAATTTATATTAGAATAAAAATAATTTTATTAGATTAATCATGTTGAGAATAGTCGGCAAGGAGACGAGCCTCGGCCAACACTTGATTTTTTTCCGATTAAAACAAACTAAACTGGAAAAAATGAATAAAAGAAAAATAACAACATGAGTGATGCCGGAGTTTTGGTATAAAAATTCAGCTTTTAGGACGAACCACGCTGCACACATAGAAGTATAAAACGGGACAATTCGAATGTTGTTGGCTTCACTATTTGGAAACATTAGAAACCCTGCATTTAGACTTATTGCAGGCTTCGCAAATGATGTGCCAAATTACCAACATGTTTCAGGTTTGTCAATTGGAAACAAAGTGCACGCTTCAAATCTTGTGAAAACCAATCATCCATTTACACATATATCTTGCGAAATGCAGTTTAAGCGGCCATGAAAAGTCAAATACGTAAAATAATATGGGACTAATGGAGTATTCCGTAGCATTTCGTTGAAAAACACATAACAAAAATATTGTAAAATAGTGAAACTTACCCAATAAATTCTCGCAAGTAGGGTCTGGGAATTTGTGTGAAATATTAATCCAGCACTACCTCTTCAATGCACAATGTGCATGAATATTTTTCAATGAACATTCCCCCTCTCTAAGGACCTGATTGTGTTGAGCTCTCTTTCTCCCCTTGGGCAAATTCAACAACCCGAGTAAAACATCCTTCATATCCGGCCGTTCATGCGGGTCTACTTTCAGGCATGCCATGACTAAGCTGTCGATGCTTTTCACGAGCTCATCTCCATCTTGCACCAGTGACTCATCTATAATCTTTTTATCACCACCCTGAACTTTATTAAGCAACCACGTAAATCGTTCACCAATGTTACGTTGCGTATTGGTGGTGAGCAGCTCTGCATGTAACACACCAAACACATACACATCAGCCTTCAAGGAGCGTACACCTGTATGAATCAAGAAACCAAGTCAGCTTAATTGGAATGTTTAGTCTCTCAATCTCGAAACGATGTGTTTTTATTTTTGGAATGTTTCATGCAGTTCATAGCCTCTTTTTTCTCGGCATGAATCTCAATTATAAAGGGCCTCTTCTTTTTTTCATGAATTAAACTAGAATTTTGAGTCTTTCACAATTTTAAATAAAACCTTTTTACAACATCCATAACAATATGTCACAATGCACAATCCTACTAAGGCCTTGCAAAAAGACATCAACAAGTCAGCAACAACATTACCCCAGTGCCTCAAACCCAGTGCGGGTAAGGGGGGTCAATTGTACGGAAGCATGGCCTCTATGTTTAAAACATTGAGCGACTGTTTCCGGATGATCCATGATGAGCATCGAGTGTTGCATTGACTAAGTGCTACTTTACTAAAAAAGAAGCACATGCAGTTTAAAAAACTATTTTACATTATTCCATCATACACAAAAGCCAAAAAATAGTGAATATTTGGCTCCACGCCTCCATCGGGGATGATGGAAATCTTGCAAGAAGACATCTTACAAAATAATACAATCCAGGTTTACATAGCTGAAATCCTCAGTTTATGACTAAGTTTATGGATGAACATTGTTTACAAATTTACATCTTTACAGAACCTGAATATATGAAATGATGACAGATGATGTGTACTCAATAGACATCCCAAAAATCTTAACCAAAAATGTGAAATGACAAAACAATTTCTAAAATATGGCCAATGATGGATGGAGCATAAATTATAATTAGTATACAAAATGTAAAATACTGACACAAAATGGCAAGCACAACAAACCCACAAAACCCTTGGGGATAATCATCATTAGGTTTAGCTGTAAAATTTTTAACTCTAGAATTAGAGAGCACATCATCATTTCCACAGTTTATGGAAAGCACAATGCAGTGGAAAGAAGGGAACTTTGGAAACACATAGCTGGCCACATGCCTAATGATGTCGTCTTGAGACTTGGAGAAGATTTTAATGCAATATCTTGTATTGATGACCACAAAGGGGCTTCCACACCATCTCTCAAGCATGGAAGAGTTTTCTCATTGCATTGAGGCATGCAACTTATACTGCGTTGAGCCGGGAGGAAAATTTACCTGGAGTGGGATGAGAGGCAATGGCAAGGTCTGGTAAGGACTGGATAGAATCCTTGTCAATCAAAATACATAGATACAATTTACTGATCTTGGAATTGCAAATTTCAGCAAGGGCAACTCTGACCACTCCCCCTCTTCTTCTAAAATGTACTCTTCAAGACACTGCAGGTCCGAAATCCTTTCGCTTTATCAACTCATGGTGCCTTCATCCTAATTTCCTCAACACTGTAGCTAAACTATGGGAACAAGCACCTACAATTGGGGGGGTGAGAGGCTTGGCTTCCAAGATTAAGGATCTGAAAGAAGAACTGAGAAAATGGAGCAAAACATTTTGGCTGAGGCCTTGGCCACTCAAGCAGAAGCTAACTATGACATTTATCCATCAGAGGCAAACAAAGAAGCTTCTTTTAAAGCTAGAGCAGATCTGCTACTGGCTACCAACATTGAGGTGAAACACTGGAGGCAAAAGGCAAACAGCAAATGGCTTTCACAAGGGGACAAAAACTCAAGGGTTTTCCACTCCTATGTCAAGGGAAGACAGAAAAAGTTATGCACTTACGCATCAAGTCTATTAGAGCTCAAAACAGTAGCACTAAGACCGATTCAAAAAGCAGTATGGAGGAGACAATAGCTCATTTCAAAACTGTTTTTAGTAAAGTGACAGAAGGTAACCTTCAGGATATTACTTAACACATTCCCTCCTTGATTTCTAGAGAAGGTAATGATAGATTGTGTGCCCTGCCAACTTTTGAAGAGGTTAGAGCCGCAGTCTGGGATTTAGATCCTCACAGTACTGCAGGGGCCTGACGGTTATAACGGGAGTTCTCTAGAAGATCTTGGGGTATAATTGGGAGGGCTGTTCACTTGGCATCACAAAAATTTTCTAGGGGGTTCCGATTCCTACTTTCTATGGGGTAAGTCTCCTAACTCTTATTCCCAAAAAGGAATACTCCAAATGTTTTGATGACTATAGGCCTATCTCACTATCAACCTTCATGAGTAAAATTAACACCAAAATCCTCTCCAACAGGCTAGGCCCTCTCCTCCCTAAGATTATATCAAAGTAACAAGCTGCCTTCCAGAAACATAAAGATATTGGGGACCAGATTCTTCTTGCAGAAGAGATGAACCACATTATAAACAGAAAAGTGGAAGGGGGAAACATTATTATTAAGGTTGACATGAGCAAAGCTTTAGACGGGATGAGCTGGAGATACATCAAAGCCATAATGGATGCTTTTGGCTTCAGCAATAAGGTGCAGCGCCTTCTATTGGCAAATCTGGAAACAACCAACTTCTCAGTTCTGATCAATGGATGCCCAAGTGGTTTCTTCAAAAAGGAGAGGGGTGTCAAACCTGATGACCCTTTATCACCAATCCTTTTCATCTTGGGCATGGAAGGATTTTCCAGATCTTTAAATCATCACATCAGCCATCACGAATGGTTTTTTTATCTCCCTTTAATGCTGGAAGGGTTCCTCTTGTTACTCACTTGTCTTACGCAGATGATCTCATGGTGTTCCTCAATGGGAAGATTAGAAACCTCCTCAAATTTAACGGTTTCCTACAATCCTTTGTCAAAGCTTCAGGACAAGAAGTTAGCTTTGAAAAAGTAGATTCTTTGGTGGCAACAAGATCAACATTAGCAGTTATCATGCCATAGCACATGCCCTAAAAATGAAGCATGGAAACCCTCCTTTCAAGTATCTGGAGGTTCCAATATGCCAAGGAATTCTTAGAAAAAAGCATTGTGGGGATCTATTAAGACATTTTTACAATCTACTCACCTCGTGGTACAGCAAGACCCTTAATCCAATGGGAAGACTTATCCTCATTAAAGTATTAAACATGTGCTATCTTCCATCCCTTCACACCTTATGGCTGTGCATATTATACCTAAATCCATTGTTGATCTCCTTAATAGAAAAATGGCAAACTTGTTATGGGGCTACAAGAGAGGAAGCCCTAAACATCACTGGCTATCTTAGAGAAGGGTCTGCAAACCAACTTGTCAGGGTGGTCTAGGGGGTAGACACTTTGAGGATGCTCAAAAAGCTTACAGTTTTAAGTTGTGGTTAAAACCACAAACTCATAACAGCCCCTGGGCAGAATTTATGAGGGCAAAATACATGAGAAATGGGATTTTAAAGGAAAGGTTGACTGACTGCTCCACATGGAAGAGAAATGGAAGATAATTATCAGAAGCCATGCAGAAGTTGCTGCCCATGTCACAATGGAAGGTAACATTGCTATATGGGAAGGAGGGGATTTTAGTTCCAAGAAGGCTTTCATATGCTCCATCCATAACCAGAATTCTACTCTCTCAGTTAAGGTAGCTTGGCACAAACTTCAGATTCCAAGGATCAGCTTCATCCTTTGGAAAATGCTGAATAATGCTCTTCCATTCTCTTCTAATCTAGCCAGGATCTCTATTCCAACCACTGCATTCTTTGTTTTCTGTAAATCTAAGGGGGATAGCTCTGACCATTACCTACTGAGGTTGTATTCCGTTCGCCTAATCCAATCTGATCTGATTTTTTAATGTTCTGATCTGTTCTGATTTGATCATATCGGATCGGATCGGATCGGATCTGATATGATTGGATCTGATCTGATCTAAATTCAATTCAAGTTATTAATGAAATGATAATTAATAATCATAATAGTAATAATAATAGTAGTAGTAGTAGTAGTAATAATAATAATAAAAGTAATAATAATAATCATAACAATAATTGGATCTGATCTGGTCTTATCTAATTTTAATAACAAGTAATAAGCAGAAAAAAAAGTTAATGCTGCCTGAATTGTGACATGTCTAGACAGGTGTGGAGCCACTTCGCCCAACTTCTTGATGGACCAGGTATCTCAAACACCACAATAAGACAATACCTACTGCAATGGGTAATTGGAGCTTAAGGGAAATCTTAAGCTGCACATCTTCAAAGTATAATTCCAGGCATCATTACTTGGATCATATGGAAAGAAGACAACAATGTGATACATGAGGACATAAAACCAAGTGTGAGCAGAATCATCAACGCAGTTTATAGGCAAGTGCAAGGATGGAATTGGACTCACAGAAACAAAAAAATGGATGGTTTGTCAAGAGGTAATGAGAAAGGCATTCAGATATTGTTTTTGGTCAGTCAAAGAACTCTTATTTGATTCTTTACTGATCAGGCCATCTATGACTCTTTTCCCAATGCTTTGATGATCTTTTTGAATTTTGTAATTGAGTCTCCACTTTGATTTTCTTTCTTTCTCTGTATTTGATCTCTTGCTTAGAGCAGTACCCAGCCTGCCTTGTATTTCTCCATTTACTCTTTTAATAAAAGTAGCAGAATCATATGACTATTAACTAGTTACTATGATTATGATTATACTCAATAATAGCAGTGTAATATGACTATCAATTAGTTACTATGATTAATCATAGTCATATTTAATACATAATTCACTCTGTATTATTTCTCAATCAGCTCGCTTTGAATTTTAATTCCTAAAGCTCACACTTCATTGAAATGGTGTCACTTCCCTCATAGGCAGCCAAGACCTCTGCTTAGCAATTTGAGTGCAATTCTTTGTAAAAATCCAAGGTTGGCGCATTACTCGTTTACTTGTCGGCAAGTTCATACACTAAATAGATCCATTTAGGCATTGAAACAAACTAGACAACATAAGCAAAAAGGTAATTGTACCATCATAAGCCTCGAGAGCATATATCTAGAGGGCGACATCAACTTCAACATAAGTGTTGCCCTCCAGTACATGAGCAATGAACCAAAATCAAAAACCTTGATGTTGAAGTCCTGCAAGCCAAGATACACAATTATTTATTTGTTTTATAAAATGTGCATAAAATGTAACCAATGTTACTACCTCATCAAACATCACATTAGAAAGAAAAAAATAGCCACATGAAATTTTCCTTTCATGCAACCAGACAAATAGCTCCGCGAATTGAGCAGCGGCATGTAATCTCTTATCCAATCCAAAGTTTTTAACTGCAAACATTACTCAGTCATACTCATAAGTCTGAACTCTGAGCATGAAAAAATAGCCTTCTTTCATTTTATTACAGTAAAATCTATTTAAGGTTTTGGTTCTAATTTAGGAGATTATGATAAAGGTGGGGTTAGGTTAGGAGTTGGTTGTGTTTGTTATATCCAACTAGGTGTATAAATACCCCCCCCCCCTGGTTAGGTTAGGAGTTGGTTGTGTTTATAGGCACAACTGTGCGAGTTTAAATCAGCATGAATGGAAAGCAAAGTAAACCATGATTACAATGTCTACATGGAAATCTAAGCAAATGGAGTTCGAAGTTGTGGTAATGAGAAAATGAGTTATGAATTACTCCCTCCATCCGTATTCCGTTGTTCATTTGTCCTTACTCTCAAATTCAAGGAAAAGGTGATTAAACAAAAGACTTATAATAGGCTTGTCTTTTAAAGTTGTCCTAATAATATGCTCTTTAGCAGTTCTCCATCATTTTTTTACAAAATAAGATAAGTGGAAAATTAATTCCAAACATCGCTGGATGGAGTAACAGATTAGCTTTGTTTAACAATCACCACTTTTATAGTTTCATTCACCTTATTACCTTATATATTAATGTGTTATTCTAAAAATTGATTGAATTCCCAATACTTCACCTTAGAATACAGCTATATACTCATATGCCTTATTTTTTTATTCTTCAAAATTTAAGCTTCTAATTGTCCAACCAAACTTAGAGGAACCCTAGTTCAAAGAATCCCTTTCTTTTGCATCAAAGTAAACTCATTTCATTTATCAGCCCTATTTTATCAAACAAACAAGATCTGCAATTGTACCATAGCAGTAGAAATGAAATTAGAAACTAATCAATGAAAGAAAATGAGAATAAAGATCGAATTTCCTCTGTTAGAACAATATTTCCGCAATTCAAGAACAACCAAGAATACATTCAATGACAAACACCACGAGGAGAAAAAAGGAACTCACAAAAATAGAGAGAGAGGGAGAGAGAACGATGCACCTGGCAGTAGGGGTCCTTCTAGGAACCACGGGTTCAAACTCCACAGGGGAAACCAAGAAACCCATTAACTGTATCGAAGGTGACGTGTGCAACATGGCGCACATTAGTGGGCCATCCAATCTCCATGCCACCACTTGAGGGCTCGCAGAGCTCCCCTCTATCCGTCTTGCAAGCCAACCTTCCACCATTCTACCTTTTAACACACAATGTACCAAAAATACCCCCACCCAATCCCTCTCTCCCCCCCACCTCTCCATCTCTCTCTAAATATGAGTCGTATTTCTCAGCTTGTTTTTAATTAGGTCCACATTAGTAAACATAAAAAATTACACACAAATCAAAATAAACTCTAATTATGGGAGAAGGGAGGATAACTGATAAGATCTGGATCAGTAGGCCACCTTAATTATATTATTAGGTGTGGTTTAATTAAGTTTGTTACTATTTTATATTTATTAAATAAAAGGACTCTCAGGTTATTAGGATTCCTGAGGCCCTATGATAGCTTAGCTAGTTAGAACTTATCACTTCATTCTCGTGATCTTATCCGATCAGTTTGATCTTATCCATTTGTTAGAGTTGTTATAAATATCCCAGCTTCTCTATTTCTGAGATATCCAGGAAAATAAACTATCAATCACATTGAGATCCTCTTGGCTTCTATCACTTTTTCATCGGTGAGATTCTTACTGAGAGAAGAGAGGGAGAGTTCTATTTAGAATTAATTTAGATCCTGAATTAATCCAAACAAGTTTCTATCATTTGGTATCAAAGCGCTCGTTACTCGATCCTGATGGCGATTACCCGTTCAAGTGCTGCCCACGGTGAGGACGGTGGATCCAATGAGCAATCAGCACACGAAGTTACTCCCCAGAACGACACTCTAGAACAAATTGCTGCCAAGCTTTCTGTGTTAGATGACCTTAAGGCAGAAGTGACTGCCCTGAAAGTGCAGGCTAGAAGTAATTCTGGGAAGGCAAAGATGAGGCAGTATACGGACGATTCTGGTGATGAAAACGATCACCACCGCCGGTTTCCCAGATCCAAAGTTGAGTTCCCTAAATTCAGTGGCGGAGATCCACGGGGCTGGGTGTTGAAGGCTGAAAAGTACTTTCGTTACTATGGAACATCAAAAGAAGATAAGGTTGAGATAGCGGCCATGCATCTGGAAGGTGACACTCTTGACTTGTTCCCCTGGATCAGTGCCGAAAGGACGCTCTTGTACGGGGAGGAATTCATCAAAATCATTGAGGAGCATTATGGACCGCCAGAATACTTGAACCTAGACGAACACCTTGTCTTAATCAAACAAACAGGCTCCGCACAGGACTATCGTCAAGAGTGCGCGAGAAGGGTTGCTCGAGTCCGAAACTGGCCTGACCATTGTCTCTTGGGTGTCTTTATTGCTGGTTTGGGAGAGGATTTGAGGTCAGAGGTCAGAATCCACAAACCCAAATCTGTGTTCAGGGCTTCTAGTCTAGCCCTTGAGTTTGAGAAACGCACCAGTGCATTTCAAGACAAGTTCTATGGGATCAGGTCAGGGTGCTGGTTCCGATTCTACCATTGACCCAAACCGAGAGTTTAAAAACTTGTCCCAATCTCACTCGCCCCAACCACTTGCATTTTCAGGATCTTCAAGCTCAACACCAACTTTGCCCGTTTCGAGATTTAGTAGGGACGAGTCGATGAAGCAGCAACGCAGGGATAAAGGACTTGGCTATCGGTGTGGCGATCCCTTAATGCAACACCAACATCCAGACTTCCACCTTGAGGACAAGGTGTCTTTCAGAGAGTGGAGTAATGATAAGATCTGGATCAGTAAGCCACCTTAATTATATTATTAGGTGTGGTTTAATTAAGTTTGTTACTATTTCATATTTATAAAATAAAAGGACTCAGGTCATTAGGATTCCTGCGGCCCTATGATAGATTAGCTAGTTAGAACTTATCACTTTATTCTCTTGATCTTATCCGATCAGTTTGATTTTATCCATTCGTTAGAGTTGTTATAAATACCCCAGCTTCTCTATTTCTGTTGGAAAATAAACTATCAATCACTTTGAGATTCTCTTGGCTTCTATCACTTTTTCATCGGTGAGATTCTTACTGAGAGAAGAGAGGAGTTTTATTTAGAATTAATTTAGATCCTGAATTAATTCAAACAGGTTTCTATCAATAACTTATTTGCATTCTTGATTTTGTGAATACATAAAATGGGACATTCAGTTTTGCTTATACTGATGTTTAATTTAGATCATCCGTCAATTCTTCATGAATCTCGAACGTACAAAAAAGTTAAACTTGAAGATAATACCTTTAGATTGAAACGGTTTTGAGCTGTAGCAATTTGTCTGTTGCTGGTATTACTGAATTTTAGTGTTCTCATGTACCTGAAATACCTGATTTAATTGAAGTTATTGGAAATGTATGGTTGACATGCCGATTTGGACTAAGGCATCTCTGTCCGTCTCTTAGCCCCCTTGGATCGAAAAAAATATGGGCATTGAGGACCACAGTAAAAGATAGATGTGGAAGAAGAACATGTTAACTTCTTAATATTTTCTCTATTCTAATTTTGCATTCAAAGTAATATAAATTTTTGTGTATTTATAATTTGATTGGATATTTTATCTATTTATTAATTTATTTGTGCTTATAAGTTAAGTAAGATTTTGAAAAAGCATGTTCAGATCTTAGCCACATTTTAGGCGGCAACTCTTATCTCCTGAATGGAGTGTGAGTTTTCTGGTAAAACTTGTCTTTCTAGAATCAAAATGAACTATTTATTAATTGACACGCCTTGATTTTTTCTTAATTAAGGTTCAAGAGTGAGGGCTCTACATTTCATTCCTTTTAGGATGTCAAGCACTTTGGAGCCGGCATTGTAATTCACATGGGTTTTGTAAGTTTTCATTAACAAATATTTCTCGACTCCTTTGAGAACTTTACCCTTTTATGCATATTAATTATTAAAATACATGAGAACTTGACACTTCTTTTCTTCATAGAGAACATGTTAAAACTTTCAAAATTATTACATTTATTAAAAATTCGCTCTATTTGTACAGTTGCATCAGAGCATTGCATGTGGTTTCTCTTTTTTCTTTCTGCTTGTTTGTCATTTTTCTTTGTTTGTTGCCTTTGCTGTTACAATTCATGCGTATCCATACAGAATCGTAACAGCAAAGGCAACAAAGGAAACAAACAAAGAAAATGGCAAACATGCAGAAAGTAAAAAGAGAAAGCTCAGTCGGATGCAAATGTTCAAATGAAGCGAATTTTTAATATATGTAATAATTTTGAAAATCTTAACATACTCACCATATATGAAGAAAAGAAGTGTCAAATTCCAATCTATTCTAATTATTAATGTGCATAAAAGGGTAAAGTTCTAAAAGGAATCAAGAAAGATTTTTTAATAAAAACTTACAAAACCTATGAAAATAACAATGCCGGCACCAAAGAGCTATGCATCCAAAAAGGACGGAAATGTAGAGCTCTCACTCTTAAACCTACATTAAGAAATAATTAAGACATGTCCAATGATAAATATTTCATTTTTATTCTAGAAAAGACAAAAGTTTTACAAGAAAACTCACACTCCATCGAGGAGGTAAGAGTTGTTGCCTAAAATGTGGCTAAGATCTGAACATGTTGTTTCAAAATCTTGTTTAACGTATAAGCTCAAATAAATTAATAAATAAATAAATAAATAAATAAAACATCCAATATAAACAAAAATACACAAAACTTTATATTACTCTTAATGCAAAATCAGAATAAAGCATATATTAAGAAGTTAACATGTTCTTCTTCTACATCTTTTACTGTGGTCCTCAATGCCTATATTGTTTTTGATCCAAGTGGTCTAAGAGACGGACGGATATGCCTTAGTCCAAATCGGCATGCCAACCATGCCTTTCCAATAACTTCAATTAAATCAAGTACTTCAGGTAGAGGAGAATGTCAAAATTCAGCAATACTAGGAGCAGACAAATTGCAACAGCCCCGAAAATATTTCAAGCTAAAAGGACTATCTTCAAATTCTTCAACTTTTTTGTAAGTTTGAGATTCACGAAGAAATGACAGATAATCTAAATTAAACATCCGTATAAGCAAAATTGAATGTCTTATTTTATGTATTCACAAAACCAAGAATGCAAATAAGTTATCCTCACTTCTCTCATAATTAGATTTTTCTTTGATTAGTGTGTAACTTTTTATTTTTACTAAAGTGAACCTATTTACAAACAAGCTAAGAAATACGACTCATATTGTGGAGAAAAAAGATGAGAAGTACTCCATCTGTCCTAAAAAAACTTCACTCTTTCCTCCTTCATTTCTAAGGAATGAATTGCTCACAACATTTATCTCTCCTCTAAACATATTCCAACCACATATGTTTCATTTTGCAACATTTTCTTATACTCCGTGAAAGTCACAAAAATGAAGGAATGTGACAGAAAGAGTAAGACTCTTCTAATAGAACAGAAGTAATATTTCATCTCAAAACCAAAAGATCAAATATACTAGGGCCTAAGGGGTGCATGTTGTCCTCGAAGCTTACATTTTCCAACATATAAATGCAATGATCTTTCTCTTGCTTTATGGTTTTCTAACTTTAGTTTCTTCTAAAATACAATTACACTTTGCTTATTTGGCAAACAAAAGTTTAGAAATGACAGTTAGAAATTGTATTAGTATACTAACAATACAAATACTAATCAGTGAACCATTTTAAAACAACTTAATAAAATGTTAAACAAACAAACTAAATTCTACCAAAATGCTCTTTTTCACATGCTCATTCTATTAGCATTTTGAAATTAGCATCTTTCATATGGTTAATTTATGAATGACCAATATATTGGTTGATAAAGAATGCTATAAAAGATAGCAATACTGCTCAACATTATACTCATTGTCTAATAAGTTTATCCTTAGATATATAGGTATGACAATCTAACCCGAACTCCAATTGTTCGGCCCAACATTAAAATATCCAAACTACCCAACAAATTGAAACTCTAATAGGGTCGAGTCGGGTCGAATTTGGGTATTGCTCATTACTGACCCGAACATCATGAACCCAACTAAGTGTTTGAAAATATTATGTGTATGCATTTGTATTTTATATAAACTCACAAAGATGAATTAATTGAGTTTAATCTTTCGAAAACAATATGAAGGGTTTTACCAGTCTTTGGGTACGAAAGAAGGGGAAAGATGTATTTACAAGATCGCAAGGGTCGAGAAAAAAGGATGCGAGATTTGGAGCAAGTTAAGTGCATTAAAGATAAGAATGGAGAAGTTTTGGTTTCCAATGAAAGCATAAACAACCGGTGGAAGAGCTACTTCAATGATCTTGTTTAATGAGGAGCATGTGAATTTCCCATGCTCCGATCGGCTACACACGAGGGAAGAGGACCAAAACTTCAATTATTATCGAAGAATTCGAGAAACTGAAATTAAGGAAGCCCTAAAACAAATGAAGAATAACAGAGCAATAGGCCCAGACAACATTCTCATTGAAGTTTGGAAAGGTTTAGGAGGAAAAGGCATTTGGTGGCTAACTAAGCTTTTTAACGAGATTTTAAGATCTAAGAAGATGCCTAACGAATGGAGAAAGAGCATTTTGGTTCCTATTTACAAGAATAAGGGAGATATTCAAAATTTTGGAAACTACACTGGGATCAAATTTATGAGTCATACAGTGAAGTTATGAGAAAGAGTGGTTGAACGGAGGTTGAGACAAGAGACTTTGGTGTTAGAGAACCAATTTGGTTTTATGCCAGGAGGATCGACTACACATGCTATATACTTGGTGAGAAGAATGATGGAGAGGAACCGAAGTAAAAAGAAAGATCTACATATGGCTTTTATTGATTTGGAAAAGGCATTTGACAACTTTACCGTACTCCTATTAGACCTACTATTAGACCAGCTATTCTGTATGGAACAAAGTGTTGAGCAGCAAAGGATGAACATGAACACTAGGTTAGTGTGGCGGAAATGAAGATGCTTTGTTGGATGAGCGATCATACGCGTATCGATAGAATAAGGAATGAAGATATGAGAGTTAAAGTCGGAGTGCCACCTATTGTAGGAAAAATATTAGAAACTCGTCTTAGGTGGTTTGGACATGTGGAGAGAAGACCAATAGAGCATCCCGTGAGAAGGGTTGATCAAATGGAGAATATGCATGTGGCTGGAGGAAGACATAGACCTAAGAGGACTTGGCAAGCATTGATCAAGGGAGACTTTCGCGTGAACAATCTCACAGCAGAATATGATACACGATAGAGCACAATGGCATCGTTTGATCCATGTAGCCAACCCCATTTAGTGGGATAAGACTTTGTTTTTGTTGTAATCTTTCGAAAACAAATGTATAATGGGTTAGATCTTGTGTACCTATTATGATTAGCACTGGTTAGTAAATAAAACTTTTTATGTACTCCCTCTGTCCCGTAATTTTCTTCCTTGTTTGACTTGGAATGTTTTTTAATAAAGTATAATGTGTGGTTGTGGTTTGTGTAAAGAAAAGAGAAATGATATGGACCGCATAACTTTTTCCTTAAAAGGGAGGAAGAAAATTTTGGGACAATCTAAATAGAAAAGTAAGAACATAATTATGGGACATATGGAGTATTTTATTATTTTGAAATTCTATACACAAAAATCAATATGGTAAATTAAAATATATACCTAATATTTTCACTTAGATTGAGTTGGATTCAAGTTGGGTTGGGTCGGGTTCAAATGAAAAAATCATACCTGAATATTAAGTTTTGAAAACCGAACCGGTAGCTGAACCGATCAAGGCACTTGTTAAATGGTTCACTGATCAAACTAGTGGTTCGAGACGTTGAACTGGTGGTTCGATCATATTTAAATAATATATATATATATATATATATATAATATTTGAAAAGTTAATAAGTCATACTCCGTATTACTCCAGAATTTATAGTGAAAAGAGTACTCAAATCCATACAAAAGAACCCAAAAACACTTAGTACATGTTAAACCCAAAGACGATAGGCCCAAAACCCAATTATATAACCCTATTAATGTTAGCCTTACTTTTCCTATCTAAACCTAGCACTACTACACTAGTACACTCCACGCCTTTACCATCAGATCACCTATTTAGTTATCTTCTTCATCCAAAACACCGAATTTGTTGGCCACATCTTCGACCCAATTGCCTGCAAGGTAAACTAAAGAACCACTTCAAATCTTAATCTCCTTCTCTTCCATCTGAGACACCAAGCAAGATTTTAGAGATAAAAATTATAATCCCCTGCAATTAACCTTTATAAAGCTGGTCAAAATGTGTGCTATTCCCTGCAATCATGTGCCTAAGTGCCCACCCATCCAATCTCTCGGGTGCACACCACATGAATACTCGACTTAACAACCTTCCCCAACTCTACAGACCTACCGTAAGGGCATACATACATACATACATACATACATACATACATACATACATACATACATACATACATACATACATACATACATACATACATACATACATACATACATACATACATACATACATACATACATACATA